GCAGCAGCAGCAGCAACAGCAGCAGCAGCAGGGATACAAACAGCAATGGTTGTGAGTGGAGAGCAGCAAACAAGCCTGTAGTTGCTGCTGTGTGTCTTTGTGTTTTTTTTATTATATCTTTGTCTTTGTCTTTGTCTTTGTCTTTGTTTTTATTGTCTCCTTTTTGCATATACTGTCTCTGTCTCTGTCTCTATCTCTTTCTCTATATCTGCCTATTCTGTCTCCTTTTCTGTCTCCTTTTCTGTCTCCTCTGTCTCCTCTATCTCTTTTTCTGTCTCTTTTTCTCTCTCTATCCCTTTCTGTCTCCTTTGGTGTCTCCTTTCTCTCTCTCTATCCTTTTCTGTCTCCTTTTGTGTCTCCTTTTGTATCTCCCTTTCTCTATCTCTGTCTCCTTTTCTCTATCTCTTCTGTCTCCTTTTCTGTCTCCTTTTCTCTATCTCTTCTGTCTCCTTTTCTGTCTCCTTTTCTGTCTCCTTTTCTGTCTCCTTTCTCTATTTCTTCTGTCTCCTTTTGTGTCTCCTTTTCTCTATCTCTACTGTCTCCTTTTCTGTCTCCTTTTCTGTCTCCTTTTGTGTCTCCTTTTCTCTATCTCTTCTGTCTCCTTTTCTGTCTCCTTTTATATTATAAAATAAAAAAAATAAAAAAATAAAAAAATAAAAATATCTCACCAGCAGTGTGTTTTGTGGTTTTGCTGCTTTCTCTGCATCGATAAAAAAATTAATAAAAGGCCTCAGCCGCATCCGTGCTGCTTCTGCTGCTGCTGCACCCCTCAACCCCCGCTGCTGCTGCTGCTGCTGCTGCTGCTGCTGCTGCTGCTGCTGCTGCAGCAGCTGCAGCGGAGCAGCAGAAGGACACAAAGCAAACCGCAGCCCATCCGCCCACGCCGCCAGTCTCTCGTCATCTAACTGATGAAAGCTTTTTGACTGCAAACACAAAAAAAAAATTAGGGTTTAGGGTTTAGGGTTTAGGGTTTAGGGTTTAGGAGTATATTAGGGTTTAGTACATGCAGTTTCTTCGCCTAAACCCTAAACCCTAAACCCTAAACCCTAGGGTTTAGGGTTTTGATTTTGAGTTTCGTGGCGAAGTAATTGATTGGGGTTTAGTGCATGTATCCTCTAGGGTTTAGGGTTTAGGGTTTAGGGTTTAGGGTTTAGGGTTTGCATACCATGAGGGGACAGAGTATCTCCCATAGAATGTTTCTGCATGCATCATCGTCCCACTTTGCTGCTGCTGCTGCAGCACCAGCAGCAATCTCAGCAGCAGTTATATGTTTATCTAATTCACTATGGGGGGCCCCCAGCAGCTCACTAAGAACAGGGGCGAGGCC